CATGACTTAGGTTGCATTTACGAATGGTCAAGGAGGAACATGCTTCAATTGAACATAGCTAAGTGCAAAGTGATACATCTGCATCACCAGCTGGTGAGCGCTAACAAGATTGGGGACTATATCTTGGCGAAGGTTTCTCAGGAGCGTGACCTTGGTATATTGGTAGAGGAAGATCTCGGGTGTTCAAAACAAGCAGAGAAGGCGACCAGAACCAGAAATCAACACTTCGGCCTTCTTTGCAGAGCCTTCGGTTGGTTTGAACCCTCTCAATCTTTCCCCAAATGCTTAACGCCTACGTGCGACGTCACGTGGAATATGCTATTCAGGCGTGGCAGCCGTGGCAGTAACAGGATCTCGTTGCTCTCGAGACTCCTCAACGATGGGCAACAAAGAAAGTCAGGGACCTCTTTCATCTGCCCTATCAGCTTAGACTGAAATCTCTAAGAACGTACAGCAGTCGATATCGGCTTTAGCGGGGGGATCTCATAAAGGTTTATCAGATTCTGAAGAACCCAAATCACATTTGCCGTCCGCTGCTGGAATTGAACCACAACACTAAACTAAGAGGTCACCCTCTGAAACTGACAATTCAGTATAGCCGGCTTGAATGCCGTAGAAATTTCTTTTCCCGCCGCATGTGCCAGCCTTGGAACGTCCTCTCTAATTATCTCGTCTTTGCTCCCAATCTGGCGATATTTAAAAAACGTGTTGACGATGCATTGTCTCACTTACATTTCATTTTATGACTCGTTAGTCAGGGGCTACATAACGCAATCAAACGGTGTATTGCCAAACGCCTAACCAATGGATTTATGGATTTATACGTTTAATACGCGAACATCTCCGCTATTCCTCATGCGTCTATGGTGAGTCCACCACAACGGTTTTCACTTTATCATGCCATTGATTTTCGCAATAATTTGCATCCTACGGGACTTGTTACGTACTGCTTTTTTACCCGTAATAAACCATTGTTCCATTGTTTCATAATATTTGCGTGGATGGTTGACTTAGTGAAGATGCGTGGGCTTGTTATGCTCCATTCTGTAACGAGTGCCGACTCTGATACTAGTTCCACACGGGTTAGGGTCAGAAGGTCTTCCAAACACATGTGACTGAGTGAAGGATTGAATGGGGATAAGTGAACTACCGTGTACGTTAATGCGTGCTTTGTACAAGGCTCCAGTGGGGATGGTTGCGAACACAGCAATGCAACATCTAATTAGCGACTTTATTATTAGTATGGCATTATGTTTGAGCTTACGATGGTTAGGCTAAGATACCACGCTCGCGCTTAAAGTGACGTAGGACTACATTGTGTCCGGATAGCGAGGCAGCAAGATGTGCGTAGCCTGCTTTACAAGTTGTACGAAGTTGTCGCTGTGGACCACTGTCACCCAGATGTCCTAGCTTTCACTGAAACGTGGTTGATGAAGTCATAGTGAAATATTTCTAACTGGCTTTTCACTACTGAGATCGGACCGAATCTGTGACCGTCGTGTCGGTGCAGTTGCACTCTAACTAAGCTCGAGTTTAAGTGTCTCCAAGACATAGAAATTCCAATCAACGGATTGGACCTTTCTGTTGAAATGTGTACCCTGTCTTCGCAATTTAAGATTTTGTTGGTGTATAGAAGTCCTGATAGTGTTTCTACAAGTTACGTTGATTTTATTCGCGCTCACTGTACAAACTGATGCCTAATGATGGAGGCCTTTAACTTTTCAGGTAGATTGGCTCAAACACTCATGCTCGTGAAGCAAATGTTCCAGAGCACCTACGTCAGTTTGCTGATCAGCCAAAATGGTTTATGGAAACACAGTCTCCGTCTATCCTTGAGCTTATTTTCGCAAAATAAGTGACCACGCCAGCATTTCCTTCGAGTGCGCTGCCAACGGTGTCCAAGAGAAATACATGGCTAGACACCAAAACCTCTGGCGTGCTGATTTTCAGACAATGCGATCCAGAGCTGCCTTGTTACACTGCACTAACTTGGCCGCAGATGACATGCAGACGGTATGAGAGAAATTCAAGACATTCCTCACTGAGCTATCCCTTCCCCACATCTCCACATCCCAAATCCATTCTGGTCACAGAAGTGCGTACTTAACGGAGGGCGGATGAACAAACTTGATGACCACCGGCATCTATGAAGGCGTATGAGTCACCTGGCTGCCAACGGCCTTAGTGCTTCGCGGGGAGTTCGCTAGTCCAGGGAATCCTGGCCTCCTTGCTACTTTACTCGTGCTCTTTGAGCGGCCTGAGTATTTTACCTCTACTCGAAAGGCGTTCACCTAGATAGCCGGCTCCCAACGATTCGCGGTATACGTCAATCGCCTCGCTGCCTTGCGGGTTAGGTCTTTTATGACCCAAGGCTCCGGGTGAGGTCCCTTAAGTCAACTCGCTTCCTCGGCCTGGGCAACCGGTAAACATGCTCACACAACCTATGGATCTATGTCTCAACAATTATTCACTCATTCTCTCCACTCTCGCTTTATCTGCGCTCACTGTCTCGAACTACTCTCCTCGGCCGAGGTGCTGGATGCTGAAACGGCCAAACCACGTTTTATCGCAACACCGTTTAATCACTTCATTCCAAGTTTGTTAAACCCACCCGTTCGTGGTCTTCGCCCTCCGTTTTCGAGTTCACAACACCGTGTCACCATGGGTGAACCTTCTTGCCATAGAGATCAGCCGCCTAGGTCCAAGGGTGCCCCAGGTCGTGTTGACAGGACATTTCTAGCGCCCTGTTCCAAATTCAAGCTAGCAACCTTCAATGTTCGGAAGCTGATGCAGATTGGGTCACAAGCAGCCATTGCTCGCTGTTACATGTGTGTCGTCCGATAAACCGATGAGCCGATGAGCAAACACAGACACATACAGATCGATTGACCGATAGATGGTTCGTCCACTCTTTTTCCTTGTGCTGATTGGTTCCTTTTCGACTAATTCATCTGGTGTAACCTACAAGCTAACCACTACAGTTTTGACACGACCCGTCCGGTGTGTGTTCTTATTCACTTCTTGCGCGGACTAAGGGTCCAGGTGCGATCCAGCAATACTCGAGTAATACGTATCAGAATGGCGATGGTTGCTACGAGCCCTCTTGCGGGACTGTCATGTCTGTGGCCTGATGGTGCAGAAAAACCCTCTCTACAGTCGTGGATACAGTGGAAAACATCTTTCCAACATCAAATGACTCTCTTTCCTGTGTTAAACCCCTCTATCGTGTTATCCGATACCCATTGGAGTATGTTATTCTGCCAAGCCCTTGGATCAGAAGGACAACGTCATTTTGACGCTATGAACTTGATGGCTAAGACTAGTATTGTGCACGTGATCCAGTTGTTTGAGGAATTGTGGGGAATACAACAAAGTGTGTTTTCCGCTCGATATCAGTTTTTCAAGCCACAGCAACGATGCGGAGAAAGTGTAAATGATTTCATTGCCCGCATCCATCAAGCTACACCGGAATGCCGGTACAATACCATTCCCTCAAGTCGCTTTGAAGAAGTCATGAAAATCCAGTGCTTAATTGGTGGAGTTACAGATGATGGTGCGAGGGAAAATTTTTGTCACAGGAAGAAGAAACCCTTTCCTGGGAAATGGCGTGTAACTTTGTACGTCAAAGGGAAAACCTAAAATCCCAACTATCCACCTTCAACCCTCTTCAGCCTGTGGAATGTGTAAACAAACTGTCACCACGGTTCTCCTCTGAAAACAGGGTACGGAAGTTCGTCCGCTACCGATGCGGGGATCAGCACACTTCTCCCACCCAGTGTCCTCATACTCGCACAAAGTGCAGAAATTGCGGAAAACTTGGCCACCTGGCACGTGTTTGCCGTTCCCCACGGTCACAAGTCTCGATCAAATCATTGAACTCCGACGACGGTGAGTGCCCAGATTCCCAGCTAAATTTTATGAGCCATATAATTTCAAACTGCTCAGTTATGATGAAAGTGTCTCCATATAGGATCATGCTTCATGTTAATAACGAACCTGTTTTATTTGAATTGGATACTGGTTCCGCGGTGACATTGATTAGTAAAAACGCGCTCATCGTTACCCGACCTGGAACCGACTGATACCGTTTTTAGAACCTATATAGGAGAAGTGATTGATTTACTTGGGAAGTGTCAGGTACGAGTGCAGCATCAGGGTAGATCACACAGTCTGGTACTTCATGTCGTGCCTCAGGCTCCAGTCAATTTGCTTGGTCGCGATTGGATGAAAATGTTACCACAAGTATTAAATACTATCCACTCCGTGGGGGAGGATACCTTTGAAGCGGTCCTTAAATGATATCCAGAAGTGTTTGACGAGCAGCAATTGGGCAGACTCAATAATTTTAAAGCAAAAATCCATATGTCAGACTCAAGTACACCAAAGTTCTTTAAGGCCAGAACACTGCCCTATTCCTTACGACCTAGAGTGGAAGACGAGCTGAAAAGGCTTCAAAGAGAAGGTATAATTGTACCAGTCCAACAAGCTGAATGGGCGGCCCTGATAGTGCCTGTACTTAAGCCCGACGGTAACGTACGAATCTGGGGTGATTATAAGCTTACAGTAAATCGAGGTGCCATCATAGACCGTTATCCATTACCGAAAATTGAGGATTTGTATGCCAACTTGTCTGGAGGAGTCAAGTTCATTAAATTGGATTTGAGTCAGGCCTATTCGCAGGTAGAGTTGGATGTGACCTCCCGACGTCGTACGACGATCAATACACCATTTGGGGCTATTCGAATACACTAGACTGCCTTTCGGGATTAACTCAGCGCCGGCGATCTTCCAAAGGATAATTGACAATATCGTGCGTGACATACCGAACACTTGCGCATATCTCGATGATATCCTTATCACGGGTCGCACAGAAAAGGAGCACTTGTACACGTTGGACCGGGTGTTGCATAAACTCTCTGAACACGGTTTGCGTTTGAAACGCTCCAAATGTGCTTTCCTAGTTGATTCAGTTGACTACCTCGGTTATAGACTGGACAAGCATGGTTTACACGCGCGGGGAGGGGGGGGGGAGGAAGGAGGGGGGGAGGGGAGGGGGGGAGGGGAGGGGGGAGGGGGAGGGGAGGGGGGAGGGGGGGGAGGAGGGAGGGGGAGGGAGGGGAGGGGGGAGGGGAGGGGAGGGGAAGGGGGAGGGGAAGGGGGGGAGGGGGGGGGGAGAGGGAGGGGGAGGGAGGGGGGAGGGGGGGGGGGAAGGGGGAGGAGGGGAGGAGGGGGAAGGGGGGGGGGGAAGGGGAGGGAGGAGGGGAGGGGGAGGAAGGGGGAGGGGGAGGAAGGGGGGGAGGGGAGGGAGGGGGGGAGGGGAAGGAGGGGAAGGGGGAGGGGGGAGGGGGGGGGAGGGAGGGGGGGGAGGGGGGGGAGAGGGAGGAGGGGGAGGAGGGGGGGGGGGGGGGGGGGGGGGGGAGGGGAGGGGGGGGGGAGGGGGGAGGGGGGGGGGGGGGGGGGGGGAGGGGGGGGGGGGGGGGGGGGGGGGGGGGGGGAGGGGGGGGGGGGGGGGGGGGGGGGGGGGGGGGGGGGGGGGGGGGGGGGGGGGGGGGGGTGGGGGGGGGGGGGGGGGGGGGGGGGGGGGGGGGGGGGGGGGGGGGGGGGGGGGGGGGGGGGGGGGGGGGGGGGGGGGGGGGGGGGGGGGGGGGGGGGGGGGGGGGGGGGGGGGGGGGGGGGGGTGGGGGGGGGGGGGGGGGGGGGGGGGGGGGGGGGGGGGGGGGGGGGGGGGGGGGGGGGGGGGGGGGGGGGGGGGGGGGGGGGGGGGGGGAGGGGGGGGGGGGGGGGGGGGGGGGGGGGGGGGGGGGGGGGGGGGGGGGGGGGGGGGGGGGGGGGGGGGGGGGGGGGGGGGGGGGGGGGGGGGGGGGGGGGGGGGGGGGGGGGGGGGGGGGGGGGGGGGGGGGGGGGGGGGGGGGGGGGGGGGGGGGGGGGGGGGGGGGGGGGGGGGGGGGGGGGGGGGGGGGGGGGGGGGGGGGGGGGGGGGGGGGGGGGGGGGGGGGGGGGGGGGGGGGGGGGGGGGGGGGGGGGGGGGGGGGGGGGGGGGGGGGGGGGGGGGGGGGGGGGGTGGGGGGGGGGGGGGGGGGGGGGGGGGGGGGGTGGGGGGGGGGGGGGGGGGGGGGGGGGGGGGGGGGGGGGGGGGGGGGGGGGGGGGGGTGGGGGGGGGGGGGGGGGGGGGGGGGGGGGGGGGGGGGGGGGGGGGGGGGGGGGGGTGGGGGGGGGGGGGGGGGGGGGGGGGGGGGGGGGGGGGGGGGGGGGGGGGGGGGGGGGGGGGGGGGGGGGGGGGGGGGGGGGGGGGGGGGGGGGTGGGGGGGGGGGGGGGGGGGGGGGGGGGGGGGGGGGGGGGGGGGGGGGGGGGGGGGGGGGGGGGGGGGGGGGGGGGGGGGGGGGGGGGGGGGGGGGGGGGGGGGGGGGGGGGGGGGGGGGGGGGGGGGGGGGGGGGGGGGGGGGGGGGGGGGGGGGGGGGGGGGGGGGGGGGGTGGGGGGGGGGGGGGGGGGGGGGGGGGGGGGGGGGGGGGGGGGGGGGGGGGGGGGGGGGGGGGGGTGGGGGGGGGGGGGGGGGGGGGGGGTGGGGGGGGGGGGGGGGGGGGGGGGGGGGGGGGGGGGGGGGGGGGGGGGGTGGGGGGGGGGGGGTGGGGGGGGGGGGGGGGGGGGGGGGGGGGGGGGGGGGGGGGTGGGGGGGGGGGGGGGGGGGGGGGGGGGGGGGGGGGGGGGGGGGGGGGGGGGGGGGGGGGGGGGGGGGGGGGGGGGGGGGGGGGGGGGGGGGGGGGGGGGGGGGGGGGGGGGGGGGGGGGGGGGGGGGGGGGGGGGGGGGGGGGGGGGGTGGGGGGGGGGGGGGGGGGGGGGGGGGGGGGGGGGGGGGGGGGGGGGGGGGGGGGGGGGGGGGGGGGGGGGGGGGGGGGGGGGGGGGGGGGGGGGGGGGGGGGGGGGGGGGGGGGGGGGGGGGGGGGGGGGGGGGGGGGGGGGGGGGGGGGGGGGGGGGGGGGGGGGTGGGGGGGGGGGGGGGGGGGGGGTGGGGGGGGGGGGGGGGGGGGGGGGGGGGGGGGGGGGGGGGGGGGGGGGGGGGGGGGGGGGGGGGGGGGGGGGGGGGGGGGGGGGGGGGGGGGGGGGGGGGGGGGGGGGGGGGGGGGGGGGGGGGGGGGGGGGGTGGGGGGGGGGGGGGGGGGGGGGGGGGGGGGGGGGGGGGGGGGGGGGGGGGGGGGGGGGGGGGGGGGGGGGGGGGGGGGGGGGGGGGGGGGGGGGGTGGGGGGGGGGGGGGGGGGGGGGGGGGGGGGGGGGGGGGGGGGGGGGGGGGGGGGGGGGGGGGGGGGGGGGGGGGGGGGGGGGGGGGGGGGGGGGGGGGGGGGGGGGGGGGGGGGGGGGGGGGGGGGGGGGGGGGGGGGGGGGGGGGGGGGGGGGGGGGGGGGGGGGGGGGGGGGGGGGGGGGGGGGGGGGGGGGGGGGGGGGGGGGGGGGGGGGGGGGGGGGGGGGGGGGGGGGGGGGGGGTGGGGGGGGGGGGGGGGGGGG